ACAGAGACAGAGAGAGACAGAGACTTTTTGCTTACCGTGCTAAAAAAAAAATAAAAAAAATCAGGTTTGTGCCCATACCCCACTCAAAGGGGTGCAGGCCCAGACCCACAAGTCTACAGCTGGGCTTTCAGAACAGGCAGACGGACAGACGTACAGACGCACATACATCAGGCTATGTATAGGTCCACGTCTACGCCTATCCAGAGCTCTACGATAGGGCTTTCAGAACAGGCAGACGGACAGACGTACAAACACACATAAAGCAGGCTATGTATGGGTCCAGGTCCGTGCCAAAAAAAAAAAAAAAATCAGGTCTGGGACTCTGGCCCATACCCCACTCAAAGGGTCACAGGCCCAGTCCCAATTAACAACCAGGGCCCAGACCCAAGTCAACGGGTACGGACCCGCATCAGCGGTAGGTCAACCCTGGAAACCGGAGACCGGGCTGGTTGTGTGGTTGGTTGGGTGGTTGGTGGTTGGGTGGATGGCTGGTTCGTTGGGTGGTTCCTCGCTTGGGTGGTTGGGTGGTTCTGCGGTTGTGTGGTTCGGTGGTTGGGTGGTCGGGTGGTTGGGTAGTTGGGTGGTTGGGTCGTTCGGTGGTTGCGTAGTTGGGTAGTTGGGTCTGGGCCTGGGCCTGTACCTGCAGCTGCACCTGGGCCTGGGCCTGTACCTGGAGCTGCACCTGGGCTTGCATCTAGGCCTATCCCTGCCCCTGCATCCGCACCTGCACCTGCGCCTGCACCTGAGTCTGGGCCTGCACCTGGCCCTGCACCGGGACCTGCGCCTGCACCTGGGCCTGCATCTGCACCTTCACCTGGACCTGCACTTGGGCTTGCATCTGGGCCTGCATCTGCACCTGCACCTGGACCTGCAGCTACGCCAAGCGAAGGCCGAGGGAGTCGGGATGGCTTGATCCTCCGGCAACCAACACTTGGGTGTCCCATCGATGTGTGCCTTGGTGTGGCACTACACTTGGGCCTGCACCTAGGCCTGCACCTGTACATGCACGTGGGCCTGCATGCGGGCCTGGACGTGGGCCTGCACATGGGCCTGGGCTTGCACCTGGGCCCGGGGCTGCACCTGGGCCTGCGTCTGTACCTGCACGTGAGCCTACACCTGGGCCTCCACAACGGGCTTGCACCTAGGCCCAGGTGCAGGCCCAGGTGTAGGCCCAGCGCACCTATGCATGGGCCTGCATCTGTACATGGGCCAGGGCTTCCAACGGGGCCTGCACATGGGCGTGCATCTGTACCTGCACGTGGGCCTAGGCGTGGGCCTGCACCTGGGGCTCCACCTGGGCCCAGGTGCAGGCCCGCTGTCGCGGGTGCACCTGGGCGTGGGCCTGCACCTGCAGGCCTGCATCTACGGGCCTGGGCGTGGGCCTGCACCTGCGGGCCTGCACCTGGGCCTGCACCCAGGGCTGCATCTGAGCCTGCACGTGCGCGTGCATCTGGGCCTGCATCTGGGCCTACACCTGACCTTGCATCTAGGCCTGCACGTGCGCTTGCATATGGGCCTGCATCTTGGCTTGCACCTGCGCATGTATATGCACCTGCATATGGGCCTGCATCTGGGCTTGCATCTGGGCCTGCATCCGGGCCTGCGTCTGGGCCTGCACCTGCACCTGGGCCTGCATCTGCACTTGCACCCGGGCCTGCATCTGGGCCTGCACCTGCGCTTGCATCTGTGCCCTCACCAGCCTCAACTCGAGGCTCAGGTCCACGCCTAGGTCAGGTCCAGCCTCAAGTCCACGCTGAGGACCAGGCTCCGCACCCGGCTAAACCTGAGAACAGACCCAGTTCCAGGATCAGCTCCATGCGCAGGTAAAGACCCAGGTCCAGGCTTAGATCCAGGCCCAGGTCCGAGCTCAGGTTCACGCCCAAGTCAACGCTGATTACACTTCAAGGGTGTATGGATCGACGCACAGCATTGCTGACGCGGTTGTTGTTCGTATTCCACTTTGATGTGTGCGGGGAAAAAAAGGGTCATGGCTCCAAGGCCAAAATACAAGGATCTATGCAGGTCTTTGAAGGTCGTGGGAAAAAAGGACAAGGGGAGGAAGAAATGCAAGGCTGATAAGAAAAAAGAAACGAGAGAGCATCGCAGAAGCGGATCCCACAATGCAAAAACGGAGCGGACCAGCAGCTGCAGAAACGGATCAAAAGTTTCTCTCCCGTCAAGTGAGAGTGAGATTTCAAAGTTGAAAGAACGCAATGAGTCACCCCCTGCGACTCCTGCCCCGCAGAACCGTGTGAGCGGCGTCGAGAACCGTCCACCCAAGGCCCCCGAGAAGAGGTCGCGGGAAGACGGAATGTCAAAGTTGCACCGCAGGACAAAGAAGAGCATCACGTACAAAAAGGACAGAATGGTGGAGATGATCGATCTGAGATGCTCGGACAATATGCAGAGCGCGGCCCGAGAGGAAGCAGAAGAGGAACACGACCAGTCCATATCAGAAAAGTCTGACGGGGAGGAGAACGAGGCAACAAGTGACGAGGGAGGTGACAGTGAAACTTTCGACGGACATTCTCGCGATACTCACGACGCTGATGACGAGGACGGCAGGAACAGCGACGACACAGTGCAGGACGAGGGTGGTGACGGGGCAGGCGAAGACGACAGAAGCATGAACGGAAGAGAGAGTTTCCCGTCTCCGGGAAGAATGCGCCGCACAAGGGAACCCGAAAGTGGTGGCGAGGGAGGCGCAGCCGACGCACCCTCGATTGACAGACAAATAGTGAGGCACGACAACGCAGTTCAAAAAGGTAAGCAAAATGTGTTGTAGTTGCTCTTCTTGCACAACGATTACGTGGTAACGGCGCAAAGTGATGGCATTTCCTTAATGCGAGGATGTCGCTACGATGAACGAACAGTTGAAACGGGCTGTCGAATTTCGCAGGTGCGAAATGCCGAGTTCTTAATATTATTCTGTGCGTTGTAATGTGTCTTTCAGCAGATGGCACGAACTCGCAAAGAAAAGTGTGCGCGAGCAGGGGAGGACAACAACAAGCCAAGCAAGAAAGCGGCGTATTCTCGAAGAAAATGAAGGACAGACTGTTCCGGTCAGTCGCAAAAGCCTTTGCGTTCTCAGCAGCAAAGGACGCAACTCTGTACCCAACAGAGGATGAATTTTTCACGGCGCTGCAAACAACGGCCAAACTGATAGGGGAGAACGTGGACGAAGGACTGCGATCACACGTAGCGGAGTGCGGGATTCGAGCAGTCATAGGGGAGTGCAACAGAATGATGACAACCGTGCGTGGAGAGATAACATGGCAACTGAAACATTGGTTTTGGGCTGAAAAAAGAATCCTGCTTGTACGATCGCAGCAAACAGATCACCAGCTCCCTACTCGCAACAAGGTGCGAGCAGAGATGCATGAGAACAAATTATGGAAACGGAGCGACGACGATCCTTGGGGCGCCCCAGCCTTCAAGACGGCACTCACCAAGGTTTTCCAGATGAGGAGGGACTGCGTAAACCTTGGCGTCACCCTGCAGCAACTGACTTTTGCAGAGATGGTTCTGCAATGTGAAATTGAGCAGACAATAAAGACCAGCAGAGCGGCGGAGCAGATACGAAAATTGGTCTCTATAAAGCAGGACACCTCATCAGCTGTCCGCAGCTGCGATACAGTCATAAGTTTTTCAATCTTCAAGTTAGACCGTGCCGTATCTGTTGCTGAGAAGGCTGCTGCACTATTTCGAGCTGGCGTGCCCTCTGTCCACAGGAGTGGACCACAGAACACAACAATAACGGATGACGATTTCGACCTGGAGTTCATTGCACCGCTGCATGAGAGAAGCAGAGACGGGGAGAGGATACAGAAAGTGTGTGCGCCAGACCTTGAACAAC